ACCAAAGCTCTTGCAGAACAATATCTGCATTGCTGTAACTCAGTTTATTCCAACTGTAACAAGTCACAAGTCAAATATGACTTTAACTGTTATCCTGGGAAAGATACTATATCAACTTTTGTTGCACAAACTCAAAGTATTCGTTGTCCATGGAGACAGTGAATCTATGGAGGGCTTACGAATAATTCTAGAAAACTATGAATTTATAAAGATGCATCCAATGGAGAGGGTTTGGATCATAACTTCTCAGTGGGATTTCACTGCTATTTTTCCTTGGAATAAATTTACCGCCAAATCCTTCAATGGAACCATGGCCTTTTCAGTTCACACAAATGTGTTGCCAAGATTTCAGGATTTTATTGAGACTATAAATCCATTTCAGTCAAACATTTATTTTATCCAAAATTTTTGGTTCATTTCATTTCTTTGTTCTCTCCCACTATATAACTTATATTTTCCCAACAAGGGTAACTGTACTGGACAAGAGAAGTTTGGGGCTCTTCCTGACACAACATTTGAAGTAGAAATGTCTGGACAGAGCTACAGTATCTACAATGCTGTCTATGCTGTTGCACATGCTCTCCATGCCATATATTCACAGAGAACCAAAAAGAATGCAATGGGTCGTAAGGAGAAATGGGTTGGTCTGGAAGTCCAACCTTGGCAGGTAAAATCCAAAGACATTCTCTTGTTTGTCTGGATCACTATGCAAAGAGATCTTGTAGCACCTTTGAGATTGACTGAAAGAAGGAAGTTGGTAACATAAGCTTTCATAAACTAAGTCTATTCCATCAGCTGCATCTAGAATACTGTCACAAATGTTCCATCTTTAATATGATAATTTGTTTTGTGAAAAACAAAAAAGTTACTGTCATTTTAGTTTATTGGTGCAAGTCTGTGGGAGGGCCAACCATCCATATTTCTGAATCTCAGTTGACATTCAGGGGCTGGATTAGACAGAGTCAGATTTTGTAATGCATTGGTTTGAAGTGGGATGGAAAAACAAATATTGTAATAAATGCTTTCAACAAAACAATGAATTATAAATAAGGGTGCAGATGATCATCAGCCATGATGACATTGTAATATCTCAGGATAGCAAAATCAGTTGACCTCTTGCTAGGGAAACACAAAAAGGAAGACATTTCTGGACTCTTGTCCTGGTTGGGGGATACCAATAGTAGGAATAGAATAAATGTTCAAAACTTGAGAAGAGGGTGCAGAGAACCAAAAAAGGGCTTTCTTAAATGCTAAGAAGCCCCAACAAGGAGAGTCTTCCCAAAGACTCTTTTTTATTCATCCCTCCTCTGTCTTTGAATAGACTATTGTTGACACTTTAGCCAAGATTCACCTTTGTTCTGCTCTTGCGGGCAGGTAGTGCCAGACACTGGCTGTAATCCTTGCTTAGATTCTCCTCCTTATCCCCCTATCCCCACAATGGCCATGTACTGGCTGGTGGGGGTATCAAGTGAGGAGCGTTTCTGCCTGTGTTCTGATAGCCAATGCAGGCACCCTCAGGGACCTCCTGGAGGGGTGGACATCTGGCAGTTCCAGAGGATCATGTCATCATCCCATGTAAGCTCTTGCAACATAGCCAGTGGTGTTCCTTGGCTGCTCCTATTCTCTATTGGCCACTATGTGGTTGGGTCAGTCATAGCGGCAAGCTCCTGTTTTTGAAAAGCGGCTGGATAAGTGCCGCTGGGATCTAGCCTGCATACAGGTTGCACTCTCCTGAGTCTGTGAAAAGGGTCTGAGAAACTTTCTTTGTCCTGCAAGAAAATGAACATATTATTTTACAAATAATTTAAAAAGTCTTTCCCTATCCTATTGGCATCAGGTTGATAGAATGCTCAGCTTTGATTTATAAGCCTTATTGCATGAGAAAAGAAAGCAAAACAGATTTGGAGATTAGTGGCTTTCTCTGTGCCTTTCCATATGC